CCCCCCCCCCCCTTCGCTCCCCGCCGAGCGCGGCCCGTGAGGCCGCCGCGCCTCCCCCCCCACCTTCCCGGCGCCCCCGTTGGGTTTGGCGCCTTCCTCCTCCTCCTCCTCCCCGGTGAGTTTGTGTCGGTCTCTCCCGTAGGATATGGCCGAGGTACCGCCGGGGCCTAGCAGCGTCCTGTCCCCGCAGGGGGACACGCTCTCCCCCTTCCCCGGAGGAGGAGGAGGAGGAGGGGGGGCTGCTTCCTCCTCCTCCTCCTCCGCCGCCTCCTATGCCGCCGCCGCCGCCGCCTGCACCGGCGCCCAGGACGAGGAGGCCGAAGAGGAGGAGGAAGAGGAGGGACCCGCGGGCGGACGGGAGCAGCAGCAGCAGCGAGGAGGAGGCAGCGACGGCGGCAAGGGGGGCCCGCAGCACCGCCACCATCACCGCCACCACCACCACCCCCCGCACCACAACCACCAGCTCAACGGCCTCATCAGCCCCGAGCTGCGGCACCTGCGGGCCTCCCTCAAGGGCAAGATCCTCGGCTCGGAGGCAGGGGCGGCCCCCGAGGGGCTGGAGAACAAGCGAGCCAGCAAAACAATGGGCTCCGGACAGCAGCAGCCGTCGCCCCCCAGCGCAGCGCCTTGCTCGTCCCCCCACGCCAACCACCTCCCTCCCCAGGGAAGGACTGCACCCTCTCCTCCTCCTTCTCCCCCGGCTAAAGGGGACAGGAGCCAGCCTGCTGCCACAACCACGACTGCTGCTGCTAAGACTGCAGCCCGCAATGGGCTGGCAGGAGAGACTGGCTTGGAGGAGGAAGAGCAGGAGGAGGGGGATGAAGGAGGGGAGGAGGAGGAGGAGTCCCTGCAGCTACTCTCCGGGTCCTTAGCAGCAGCGTGCAGTTTGAAAGGCTCGGGAACGGACTGTCAGCCCGAGGAGGACCTAACGATACGATACGTCCAGTATGAGTCAGAGCTGCAGATGCCCGATATCATGAGACTGATCACCAAAGATCTGTCTGAACCCTACTCCATTTACACTTATAGGTATTTTATCCACAACTGGCCACAACTTTGCTTTTTGGTAAGTGCCGGAGGGAAGCAGGGAGGGCTGGAGTTGGGAGTGGTTTGGGGCTGGGGAGGAGAGGATGGAAGGGTTGGCGTTTGTGGAATTACCTTTAATAGTCTTTTTGTGGGTAAGGCCAAGGTTTTTTGGAAATGCCTGTCCCCCTGTGACCCGTGCAGGTACAAGTAAAGCACGTGCCCGAAGTTCTGCATTTGTTAACACATGTTTTAAATGGTGGGGAAAGGGTTTGAGCACAGGGCTAGGATCCAGGAATTCAGGGCTTCTAATCTTGGTTTTGACATTGACTTTTGTGACCTTTGGTAGCTCATTTTATGATTGTCTCAGTTCCTGAGCTTGGGTTTAAAAAAGAAAGTACTTAGTCCACTAATGCCTTGTAACTGCTTGCTAATTCTTGCACAATGGTTTTAAAACTGACTGAAGCAGGGTTGGCACATGAATGTTAAGTGATAGGTGGAGAGGCACTGTGAAAGGTTTAGCAGACTTTTTGATCTGTGAGCTTACTTTGACAAGGACAAGTCCAGCTGTGTTGCTTTTACAGGTGTGAGAGTGCTCGCAGCATGCAGGAATTCTCTCGTTGGCTCCCTGCACTAACAGCATATTAAGTGTTGTATTCTTCCCAGTGCACTGTTGAAAGGCTGCTTTAGCTGCCCCCCTGCCTTCCTAAATATTTGGCACTTTTTGTGTCTCAGTTGCATGCTTTTAGGATGACAGTGCATCCACAGGTAAAGGAAAGTGAGCAGAAGCTGGCCTGAGGAGTGTACGTGCATAAAAAGAGCTTGGCTGTGCTTGATTTACTCACAGGAACACTCACAGCTGCAAAACAGAACGTTTAGGGGAGTTTGTGGCACTTCCTTGCTAAAGAAAATGATGAGTTCTTGTCTCTTGATGTTTTAATTAAGGCTGGACACCCCTCTGGAAGGTGTGATTTAGCCAGAGCCAGGACACCCTCCAGTTCAGGGGCAGATCTGAGATTTGGATAGAATATGGGTACAAGAGGTGAGGCTAATGGAGTCCATCTGGCCTTCAACTTCCTGAATGTTCCTGGTTTAGGATCTGCTAGAATTTATAGCAGGATTGATATGGTTCATAGGAGCATTTTCAGAACTGTACAGAGGGAATGCAGTAGGATTACAGGAAGTTGAGCAAAGCAAAATGTTGACCTTCTGGAACAAAACAGAATATGAAAATATTGGAGAGCATTGTTGGATGCAAAGTCATGTTTGCCATTACAAGGATGCTGATCAGAGCACAGTGATGTTCAAACACTGAGCTCTGCCTGTGACAGATTTACCTCATACTGAGAGTAAAATACTCCAGAGCTACAAAAGTCCATCCTTTGAGCTTCAGGTGTAGCCCTGGTAATGCCAGGGAAATGTTGGTTACTCTTAGATCACAATGCATTTGTTTAGACTTTCCCTCATTATGGGTTTTTTTGGTCAGGGAATAAGTGGAGAATTTTGTTGTGAGAAGAGCAGTGACAAGTTGTTTGACAGAGAACTAAAACAGATGATTTCTAATAAGTGCATCTAAAGAGTAAGATATCATTCAAGGGAAAGAAAGCTTATTTTGTAGTGACAGCTTCATTTTTTGATAGCCCTAAAGAATCAACAAAACTTTTCTTGAACTCAATGTATTTGCCATTTTTTTAGAAAGGTGAAACAATGTGAAGTACATAAAAGTGTAGAGAATAATATATGGCTGTGGATGTCTAAAGCCAGCAAATTGTTATCTGCTTAATAATTTGAAGGTCTTGCAGCATGCTGAGTCAAATTCATGTGTGGAGGGGTTGGGGTTTTTTTGTGACTGGTTTTAATATTTTTGAGGTTTGTTTCTTAGAGGATGTCTCGAAAATTTTCTGATCTATAAAATATAATTTGTTCCTGCAGTTAATGGACTCCTGAACTACTTCTCTCTAATAAATCACTTTAAAATATTTATCTTCAGTCAGGGACTGCATATTTCAATTAGCAACAAGTGTCAGGATGGTGAACGTGCAGCTTGGTGCCTGATCTCACAGAATCATTTGATTTAATGCATTGTGGCCCCACACCCTTCTGGTTTCAGGTTTTGGCTGGGTTTTGTGTGTTTTGGGAAGAGGGGGTTAGCCTGTGATTTGACTGTATTTGGAAAAAGATCTGCAAGGGTTCAGCCAATTCCTTTGCTGAATTTCACCATCACCATTTGAAAACTCTTCCAGGGCACATTCACCTGTCTTCCCTGTGCTGTCATGGCACCTTTCCTTTCCTCTCCCCGTGAGGGGAAAAGACTGACACCACTGAAATTGAAGATGGGATGTGTATTTCCCCTAAATAAACAGCACTTGTCTCTTTCTGGTGGGTTATTTGATGAACCTCTAAACCATAATTTCCCTATTCTGACAATGCAAAGCTGATTTCTGGGGACGTTATTAACTTTACTGCATGCATTTGAAACTTGCTCAATTTTGGTTTGGCCTTCCCAAGCTGCCCAGTTGCTCTAAGGGCTGGTGCATCCCAAGCTGGTGCTTGTTTTTCCTTTCTCTTCAACTCCCTCTTCCTGCCTTGTGCCAGCCCCTGTGTTGCTGTGATTTTGGGAGCCAAGATACCCCTCTGACCATCATATAATTGTAAATGTGTTTGTATTTAGCTGTTTTAGGGTGATGCTCTGTTGGTTTAGAGCTCCAAATCTATTCCTGTAGGATGTCCCAGGCACTGGTGCAAGAGGGGATGTGGGAGTGCACAGCTGGAGGGAAGGCAGAGACCAACCCTGACTGGTCAGTACTGAGCAGAGTTTTTCAGGCTCAGAGCACTTCCTACCTGCACACTCAAAGAAGGAGTTGATATTCCACTATGAAAGGACCTGGAGATACTGGAAGTCTTAAAACCCTGTTAAATTCAATAGCTAATTTATGCACATAACTGTTATCCTGACTTTGGGGGTAGCAGCTTGGGAATACTGCTCAGTGCTGAGGTGTCCCACTGCAGCACTCTCTGGACTGTGGCAAGGTAATAACGTTTTCCTCCATAAACTTCCAGTGGAATGTGTCCCTGTCCATGGCAGGGGGTTGGAATGTGATGATCTTTAAGGTCTTTTCCAACCCAAACCATTCTGGGATGTAAAACTCCAGCTGTGTGCTTCAACTCACGTTTTGCCTGTCTTCAGAAGAGCAGGTTTGCCCTGTGTGTTAGGTGTGGGTGCCCAGTAAATGCCTGGTTTTTACTTATTCTCAAAAGATCTGTCAGCCCAGTTTCTCCTCAAATGATACTCACTTCTCTCTCAAAGAATGACAGGGGCAAGGGGCATCTTGTGTTTCATGAGAAGTATTTTTAAGCAGTGTTACATCTTTGTCCCCAGATGGATTGTAAATGCATTTTCGACATTGTAGCTTTCTTTCAAAGTGGTTTTGAAGCTTCTCATCTTAGCAGTGCTAAAGTTCTGAAGCTTTCATTTCAGACTGATAAATTAAATATTTCAGAAAATTGTTTTCAAAATCCTTTAGCGTGGGAGAGGTGAGCTTAGGAAACCTTGCTCTGTGCCAGAGTTTGGATAAGAAAAAATGTAATAAAAGGCTGAGTGTTGTAGCCTCTCCTGTAATTCACTGTACCACTCAGCTGCCTTTTAAGAAAAATCTAGAAAATCTATGCTTTTATTGGGTTCTTAACTTTGCCACCAGCTATAGCAGCATTTATAATTTAAACTTTCACAAGTTTAAAAATAACCTATTAATTCCATGTAAGTGGTTTTAAATGTGTTGTAAATCCTAAATGACTGCAGTTAAGTCTTGTTTTATACTAATGCTTTGCATTTTTTGAAATTGGATTTGATTCAAGAGTCTTGGTGTGTTGAAATTAAGACTTGTAAGACATCATCCCTGTTCTTCAGTTGTGGAAAACCTGGGGCTTAAAGGAAGAAAAGTCAGGAGGTTGTCTGAGAAGTCTTCCTGGTCTCATGGCAGACGTAGGAAGAAGAAGTTTTGAAGGAGAATTTGCAAACTTTGTATTCCAGTTTGTTTTTAGGAGTGATCACACTTTCAGTCTCTCACTGAAGTCCCTGCAGCACCTGAGCAGGTGACAGCAGCCAGGGCAGCTATTCCAGGGACTGTTCCTCACACAGGAGGGAATTGCTGCTGTCCAGGTTCATGGAGGGAAGCAGAGGGAGGTGGGGATTTGCCAGGAACTGGGAAGAGCTGTGGCTGAAGTGGCAGAGCGAGGTTAAAACCATTACCCTGAGTGTATCCTCTAATGGCACTCGGTAACACGATCCCTAAATGTGAGCCAGCTCCTACCCAGCTGTGCCTGGGATACTTTGGGATGGACTTTGGTGCAGGTGTGAAAGGAAAAATGCAGTGCAGCAGTGCAGGTTCTGCTGTGTTTGAATTGCAAATTATTTCCCTTTTGGGGCTAGTTGGCTGTTTTCATCTCCTTCAAACAAAATTCATGGGATCTGGATATTAAATGCATACTCAGACTGTGGCTGACAGACATAATGCCATCTTTGATAATGAAATTAATACAAATTGATTAATTCTATGAAAAGTAATGTTCTTGCTGATTTACAGACATTTCTCCACCAGCTCTTCCAGTATATTAAAATCTGCTTTGTTTTAAGCATTTAAACTTATTCATAGGAACAAAGATGATGCAAATATTGGATTTGGATTCATGTATGTTAATCCTGCTACTAAGAACCTCCTATTGGAGTAAATCTTACAGTACTCTGTGGAGTTTATAATATATAATACTGACTTAGGCTGAATTCTGTTTGTAGAAAATTGCATGTTTAGAAGTACTCTCGCATACCTGAAAGGAAAATTTGGCCCATGGTTATCTTTTCCTAAATGATGTTGTGTGGGAGCTACTTTTCTTCCCTCCTCACAACTCTCCCTATTTCAGTCTGGGTTTTTGTTGTTTTTTTTTTTTTATTCACAGTTTAGCCTTCTCCAGGAAATTAAGTTGCAAAGTTTTGCATCATTTTCGTTCAGGTTCATTTCTAGCTTTAGATAAGGTTGAAAAGAAGGAGAAAGGAGAGGAAAGGCAGCAAAACCCCCTCTAAATGAGGTGGAAATGCAGCACTCCCTTTGTGAATGGAACAGCTGTAGATTCACTGCCAGATTTACCTGCCTTAAGACAGAGAAATAGATTTAAGGGTTTAGAGAACTGGTAACAGAGTCATTCTTTATTCAGCTCTCTGGCAGCAGTGGTAAAACCAGTGGGTATTTGCTTCTTTGATCACTGAAACAAAGTTCTTTGCTGTTCATTTAACATTTTAAATATATGATTCATGAATATAACTTTTCAGAAAAGTGCTCTGGAAAGAGCTCAGGATATGAAGAAAGAGCTCAGATGTGAAGTGTCTAGATTGCCATTACTCCTGAAGCATGGAAAAAAAAAATATAAATATATCCTAAAAATTGTCCACATAACTGTTTGGATCAACAGTTTGCACGTGTTCACTCCAGGGCAAAGCACAACTATAACATTATAGCATGCTAGTTTGTGGTGTGCCTTTTTTTTTTTTTTTTTTAGTGAGGTATAAGATTACATCTAGGTACTCTGCATAATTATAGCAATGTTCTGAGCAGTTTGTCTGATGATACTCTTTATTTAACTCCCTGCTTTTCTCAGGTCTGAGCCGAGATACGGAACTTGCCTTGAGCTGAAACTTTGCATGCACTGTTTGAGTATGGGCACAGCTCCTCTTTTCTGTGCAATAACCTGTGTTTTGGAACAAATAAAAGACTGCTAGGAGGCTCTGTGTTTCAGTCCAGTTAGATCATGCTGGAGATTTTGTTTGTTATTTTAAAAACCACTCGTTAGATTGTTCAGGGTTGTTCTTGGATACTGCTGAAATGTGTTTTCCTGCCAAATAAAAACTTAGCAATAGTTATATTTGCTTCAGCTCCATTAGAAATGGGGTTATAATCATGCTGTATCATAGGGCTTTGATACTGCAGCTTATACTTTTTTTGGCTGCTTCATTTCACCTTTGCTGCAGCTCCTGGTTGACAGCTGACTTGGTTAATAACCCACATCCAGGTGGAGATGCTCAAAGACTTGATTCTTTTTGGGGTGAAGAGACTGCCTGCAGTACGACCTGCAGGAAGGAATCTCCTGTCCATGGAGCTTCAGCCTCCAAGCTGTGCACGAGGGTTCAGGTGGTTGAGTTTATACCACAGGCTTTGCAGAAATCTCCTGTCCATGGAGCTTCAGCCTCCAAGCTGTGCACGAGGGTGGTTGAGTTTGTACCACAGGCTTTGCAGCAGTGAGCTCTGGCTTCACAGGTGGCTGCTCTGAGGCCTGGCAGTGCTGGCTCCAGCAAGTCCTTTTCATTTGACATGTCTTAGAGTTGTAAATTTGGATTATGCACAGCTCTTGTGGCAGCACATGCTTGTGCCAATCATGTGCTGTAGTCCTGGTGTAGCTGCTGCACTTGAGCCCAAGGCTGGTCCTCCCTGCAGGTCTGTCAAAGGCTGTGGATCCACTCACACAGCCATATGTAAAGTTATGAGTTTCTTTTTATCTCTGCCCATCTTTCCTGAGTGCACAGGAATTTGTTTTCCCTTTGGATGCTGTCCCACTCTGCAGCATTACTCAGTTTTACTGCTGCAGGTTATAATGTCATTAATCCCTTGTGCTGCCTAATCCTTCAGTTAACATGACTTAGTTTTCCTTTCTCTCATGATAAAATTTTGGTGAACACGGTGGGTGTGCAAGTGGTTTGCTGAGTGTTTGAGGAGGAGTTGGGTCCTTTCCTTTTTGGGGTTTTTCTTGTTAATATTTCAGGATGCCTACATCTCCTTGACCACAGTTACTGTGACAATGCCACTGGGATTAACTGCCAGTGCACAGCTCTTAACAAACAAAATCCCCCAATAGTTAAAATGTGTGAAATTAACTGTGCTTTTTTGTTTGTTCTCTGGGTGTCATATGACTGAAAACGAGTGTCTAAAGATTAAATGCAGCAACACTTTTCTCTGATCCTTTGTGGCCTTGACATTAAAACCAGACAAAAATTAAGCATGTTATCTAGCACAGCCCTTATACAGGAAAATTCAGAGCACTATAAAACAGGAATGGACATTTTTCCTCTGTAGAAGCCCATATCAAAGGGTAATTTATGCCTTAACCTGGTCTTTTATTTTATTTATTTTCCCTTTTATTTATTTATTTTCCCTTTTATTTATTTATTTTCCCTTTTCCCTTTATTTTCACACATGTTATTGCCTGAAGACTTTGTGAAATGATATTGTGGTTCTCTCCAGGAATAATTCATTGGTTGTTAATTTTCCTGGAACTTTATTGGAATGTAATAAAGCAAATTAAGTCTTTTAATCATAGTAATACTTTTGGAGACGCTTTTCAAATTTACGTCGTTACCTTTTCATAGCTTTAACAAATTCTGTGTGGCTCTTTCACGTGAAAAATGAAGTGGTTTACTGCTTTTGGTAGCACTGTGGATCCCAAACTGAGAATTCCATCCGTGTATGTTTGTCTTTAAGGCCATGGTAGGTGAGGAGTGTGTAGGTGCCATCGTCTGCAAGCTGGATATGCACAAAAAGATGTTCCGCAGAGGTTATATAGCCATGTTAGCAGTGGATTCCAAATACAGAAGAAAAGGAATTGGTAAGAATAGCCTTTTTTCTTCTTTCTTCTTTAAATCCTCTCTGCCTGGGATAACTGTAGCTGTCATAAAGATTTAAGCTGAACTGAACTTCAGGATGTGGTGCTTTGTGTGTCATCCTCGCCTTACTCAACCACACGAGCTCCCCAGTGGCTTTTCTGATTTTGTTAAAATAACCTGAAATGCCCTGTGAGGTTCACACCTGGGATGTGATAAGGCTAAAAAGAAAGGCAGGCAGCAGCCCCTTACCTCTGCCTCTACCACTGCCAAGTAACAGTGGGAACTGCTCTGTGGTTTTATGTGTGCCCTCATCACTGTATTTCCATGTTGTGTTCAGGCTCCTTTTTTACAGTGAACTTATTTCCTGACTTCCCCCTATAAATTATGCATATATTACCCATCAGGGAGAATGTATGGAGCTCATTATTGTATTAATCAGGGAAGAAAAATAGCTGTGTATTGTTACTTGAATGATTGAAATGGAGATCTGTTTTGTTGGGAAGGTACGTGGTAAAGAAATCACTCTTGGCAGGGAGTTTGCCCTTTCTCATTAATCAGTTTTGCCCTGGTGAAGGGATTTTCATTCTAACTCCAGTTAGCCAAGTTGGCTTAATTAAATATCTGTTCTTATGGAACTTAATTTTTTTCATGCTGGTTATTGTGAAATTACATTGTGTAAGGTTTTTTTAACTAAATGTAGACGTCAGCTCCAAAGCTTAGAACTGTGCTTCACCACTCATCCACACTGAACAGCTCATGCTTCTGTGATTAAAGACAGAAATTACTTGCAATCAAAAAATACAGTGATCCATTGCAGAATGTATCATTGTGTTTGCTTTCTTCCAGAAAAAACCCTCCAAAAAAACACATTACCACGACTGTTCAAGCATGTGCAGATTTTTTTCTTTCCCCAGTGCAATTCAAAAGCCATTGTTGGCTTCTGTAGTGGAGCAGAGGAAGAGGATACTGAGGAATCACTGTCTCTCCTTTCCTTTTAGCTGAGTCATGAAGGAGTCTGCCATAATTTAATTGCAGGTGCTTGGATTCAGAAGTAAATAAGAGCTAATGCTGTTATTATGAAGATCACTGCAAGACTTCTCCCTCATTTTAGTCAGTTTGTTAAATTAGAAATACATACATAGAATTTGTCTTTAAAGCCTTGCTTACTGTAGCATTATATATGTTGACTTTTTTCCTACGTTTGCCACCTTGCTGTTTCTCAAAGAGTGCTGTTAGTCTGGAGACCTGCTTTAAATGTAGAACAGTTTTATCATCACATTCAGTGAAAATCTTTATTGATTAAAGTTTTGAGAATATTTTAAAACATTCTGTAGATTCCTTGGGGTTGTTTTTACTTTTCCATAGCCTTCTTATGGAAGTGAGATTTATGCAATTTCACTGAGCAGCAGTTTTTTCCACTAAAAAATTTGAAATGAACTTTCAATTTCACCCCAATTCTACAGACAGGTAGGGATATTACATTTGTAAAACCGTGGTGAAATAGATGAAAAATAATTATTTCAAAATTAAACTAATGATTGACTTAGGGGAAGGGATGGGCTTCAAGAATATTATTAGATACTAGCAAACCCAAATGGGAGTGAGCCATAAAAACAGTGGTTTCATAAGTTCTGTTACTAATACAAGTATTTGTTTTAGTAAGAGGAAATTCCCATGGAAGATGAATGTCCTTCAAGCACATGCCAGCAGATTTTGACTTCAAATGCAACTAAAAGGAATGAATCACATCTTGGAAAGCTATATTTAACACCATGTTGAGCAGAGCAGCCAGTTTCTAATATCCTTGTGTTACAAGAATCTTGCACTTGAGCTGAGTCTCTGGATAACTTCACAGATTATTTTAGTGTTCAAACTTGAGACTGCAGCTTGACTGCAACTCCTTGTTTTTCTTTCCTCCCTGCTTTCCCCAGGTGTCATGTCATGTAGGTAGCACACATTAGTCATATATAAACTGGCATTTTTGTTTTGCACTGCAACTCTGACACTTACTGAAATCTGTGTTTCAGGTACAAACTTGGTTAAGAAAGCTATTTATGCTATGGTTGAAGGAGATTGTGATGAGGTAAGATTTTATAATCAAAACTTTCATAATGCAAATGGTTTGCACTCTGTTGTGTGTGGATTCATTTCACCGGTTTTTCTTCTACAGGACTTTTTTTAGGTGGGAAATAAGTTGGTAAGAAGCTCCTTTATATTAAAAGGGAAAACAACCCCAAAAAATAAGTATGGCACAAATAGGAGATGAACTGTCTAAATTTGTCCTAAGTGCTGAAATTCAGCAGTTTACACTGTGAAGCTGCCTCAGCCTTCACTCAGGCCCGTTTTCCTGCGAGGGCCCCATCTGAGGTGCAGCTGAGCAGTGGGATGAGCGTGTCCTGTGTGGCCCTTCAGAGTACAGCCAGGCACAGAACAGTGTGTGCTGTGCTGCTGCAGAATGTGGATTTATCACAGCCACTCATCAGGCTGTTCTGACACTGCACAGGGCAGGGCTGCAGTGGGTTTAGCACAGCAACACAGACATGCAGGGAGAGCGACTGAACCACTGGCAAACTTCCCTGCCCTACAAGTTGTTACTCTTTCACCAGATTGCAGTTCCTGCTTTTTTTTTTTTTAAATATAAATATATACATAAAGCAACTCTGTTGTTATATGCCTTGTTTAACTTGTGAGGAACTCTTCATCCATCCATCCATCCATCCATCCATCCATCCATCCATCCATCCATCCTCCTTAACCAGGTTATCTGTCCCTTTAACTTCCAGCTCCTTGGCACAGTGCAGTTGTTCCTGATGTGTGAGCACTGTCATTTCAGTGTCACAGTTAATGAGCCTTTGATCTCTCTGTTATCTCACTTCAGCTGCTCCCTGCATTGTCCCACTGCTCCCTCCATTGTCCCACTGCCCCGTGGGGAAGTTTCTTATGCAAAGCTACAATTGGTGTCACAGGACTTTTGGCACACACTCTGGTTTATTTTTCCACTTATGTTTCTCTTCCTGCAGCATCCCAGCCTGTGCTCTGGCTTCATTCATTGGGAGATTTATTCTTCCTCTCAGATCCCTTCATGCCTCTGCTTGCTGCTGTCTTCTTCCCCCTCACCTTCTGATTTATGTTGTAGTTGGGCAGTACAGTGCAGTCTGTAATTCTTTTAAGTTCTTTATTTTGGCTTCTTGCTTCTATCCTGGTTTCTAAAATGCTTTCCTCTAATCTCTTTTACTACTTGTCTACACTGAACTATAATAAGTTGGTTGGTTTGTTTTCCCCATTGCTTTCCACTATGGTTTTGGGTTGATTTCCCATTTCTAGACTAGTCAAGATTTTCAAAAAATTGCAAAATACTTGAGGATCAGGGTTACAGTGTTCACACCACAGCTGCAGAAGTGAGATGCAGAGAAGGGAAGTGAATTACCCACTGTTATTAGAGAGTCAGGACTAGAACTGGATGTTTCTACTCAAGCTCTGAGTTGCAGTAATTACTGTATAATTTCTGAATGTCTGTGTGCTACTCCTGATGTAAATTCATTTCTAGATTGGACTATCTAACAGGTGACCTCTAACAGTAACCTCTTCCATGTCTGTCTTTTTCCTCTACCACTGTCACATTAATCCAAGATCCCTTTTTGCTGTTTTTTTAATCTCCATAAACATGAAATAAATGTGGTAAGGGTTGCAGGTCTGCAGTGAGGTCTCATTAAGTCTTAGTCACAGATTTTCCTCTCTGGTGCTGTATAAATGCTTTGGACCAGGGGCAGAGGGCATTTCTCAGATTCTCTTTATTCAAAGGCACTGTAATTCAGACTCCTTGAATTGTGTGCTGAATGGGGGCAGCCATGGTTTTGGAACTGCTGTTTCTAGAATGATTATTCCAAACTCATCCTCTGCTTTTTGGGGGTTTTTGCACCAGCTGAGTCTTGTGCTGGCACTAAATTTTAAAGTGGGAGCCCTTTAGGGAGCATGGAATACGAGCAGAATTTTACTGATTATTTTTCTGCACCATCAACTGAGGCATACCCACACTTAATTTTATTTATGTTTTTGTTTAACATAGGTTATCCACAACCAAGCAGCCAATGTTTTCATGGTTTTTGGTTTTTTTTTTCCTTTGCCACCAAGTAGGCTTCTTCCACATACCCAAAATAGTGCAAAATAAGGATGTTTGTTACTTGTACTACATGATGGAGTGCTGAGCTTTCAGTCAGATCAGAATCTGAAAAATCTAGCTAGGCACCCATGAAAAGCTCTGCCCAACTCTTGGGTCTCACCAGTTTTCACAACAGTTGTCAGGAGATCAGTTTCTGATTAATTGATGCTTAAAGCTCATCAAACACAAAGTAGTGCATCACAATAATTTGTCTGTGTGAGGCGTAGAAATAGTTTAATCATCCCTGCAGCTTTTAAGGCATTTTTCTACATCTTTTTAATAAAATCAGAATCCTGATGAAAATAAAAAGATACTGCTTTTTGAGATAAGATGGAGTGCAATTAAAAACAAAATGCTATTTTCTGAAACTTGCTTGGAATAGGATTAAAAACATGAATATGCAGCTGTGGGTGTTGTGAAAAATTTCCAAAGGCTGCTTGGAAACTCTTCCCTTCAATCTAATTATGGAATAGATGCAGTAAATAGACTTAATTTTAATAATTTGTGGCATATAATCTGATAAATGCCTCACTCAGTGTGTTGCTTTTCAAAGTATCACAGATTTGGCTTTGGAGGTACCAGCACTGAGTCCTGAAAAACAAAGGATTTATACAACACCACAGATGAAAATCTTGACAAATCACAGCTGATAGGTGGCATTTCAAAGCCTGCTGCAATGTTCTGGTGTTTAAGGACATTTTTTTCCCCTGTGGGCTGTTTTAGTAGGAATAAACCAAGGCAGGCCTATGGAATGAGTGGTTTACAGTGGTCAGCACCCTGCCTGAGAGGCAGAGTCTTCCTCAGGGGTGTGGAAGATTTTCCCTGGGAAAGCTGTGGAGTGAGTGAGTGAGTGAGGAGGTGAATTGACTGGAATGGAATCTGTGTGCAGGGGAGGAGCTGGCCATGGAGCTGGCCATGGCCTACATTAGAATAGAAACCAGGGAAGTGATCTGCTGTTGGGGGTGGGTGCTTGAACCAGAAATAACCTTCAGGCCTGGAGAAAGCACTCACACAGCAGCTTCCAGCTGGACTGCCTGCATATAACATTACAAAACTTAGGCATCTCTGATTTGTTGGGCTTTTTTTTTTTACCTTTGTGACTTTCTCAAGTATTTGATGTTCATGAATTCTGATATTTGGGGTAGTGAACTGTACTGGGCTGAGTTTTCAGTGGATCACAGTGATTTAGGATAACTCTGGGCTGGTTGCATAGAAAAGGGGAACTATGGAAATAAATCAGGTGAAGGTGAATAGTTCTACTTTCAGCTCCAAAGTTTTGGAATTATTTTTCTTCCAGTTTAAAAAAGAAAAGCATGTGCTGACTGCAGCAAGGTGGGTGTCTGGCTGCTTTTTGTACTGTTTTTGCTGGCAAGCAGTTTCCCAAACCTCCACAGCTGAAGACCATCCTCTGGAACTGTTACATCCCTTAATTACAAGTAGAAAGGAGGAGTTGTTCATATGCAGGTTTTCCATCTGTAACAAATGACTGAGGAATCTGCATCCATTGTATGTGTATATATATAGATATAATAAAATTTATAATATATATTATAAATAAGAAATATAATACATATTATAAATAATATATATAATATACATTATAAATAATGTAATATTTCAGTAATATGAAGTGAATGGATCGGTAACTAATGGTAAATAATGAAAATAAGACTCCAGTAAGTTGGACTTCAAAGACCTTTTCTAAATAAAAATGTAGAACATGAAAGGGAACCACAGATTCTCATGGCACTTCCCATTGGAACTTCAGGGTGATTTAGAGTGGGGATTTTGACCACACTAGTAGGTGTGTCATTTTAATTCAGCACCACACTAGTAAAAATGAAATGTGTATTTTTATGGAATCCTATTTGAAATCATTACATTACTGATATTTTTACTTTCTCCTTGATCTACAAAACATAAAAAGTATGAACTTTAGATTTTGGGTAGTGCCTGTCTTTGAAATTTAAGGCAGTTAAATTGATTAAGGACATTGGACAACCTCTCTTGAGTCTGATGATCTGTCAGACTTAAAAGTAAGAATAGCAGCCTCCTGTGTGAGTGCTGAGAGGACTTTCTTCATTTGATTTGGCTGTATCCATTCCATGACTTGGGTTTTAAACTTGAGTTCCTTCCAGAGTTTGAGCTGAAGAAGCAAGAAGGCTTGACCACTCCAGTTGGCTTCAGTTCAGGAATAAATTAAAGGTGTGAAAATGTAGCAACAAGGAATATTGCACTCCACTCTTAATATAGAAATCTTTTTGCTTCTAAACCCAGTTAATGTTAGAGTTGAGCTAAAATTTTTGGTTTATGAAATTTAAGATAAAAGAGAATGTCACAACCTTCAGAAAGTTGCAACTTGAGCAGAAAACGCTGTTAAATCTAATCAGAGCTTTGCTGCCCTTCGGGGGGGTGTTGCTGTGTTATCAGAGGATTTAACAGGCATATGTGCACAACAAAATCGACCCACAAGAGCAGAAATAAATGTAACAATTGAAGGTTTGGAGCTTGATTGAAAAGCTCACACAGGAAGAGATGCATTCTTCACCAAAGGAAGCTAATGAAATCTGAATAAAATATGCCTGTGTTTCCTTTTGACATAACAGGAACATGTCTTCTGCTGCAGTATGTTGAGATCAGGGAATTACTTTTCATTGTGCTGAGACTTCCTTAGAAATACCAGAGCAAATCTCTTGCATTTGCTTTCAAGATGAGCATTCACTCAGGTAGTGGGATTCCAACAAACCTGTATTTCAACATTTAACCACTCCCTTCAGCTCAATCACCTGCAGTGCTGGAAGTGTTTTAGCATTGCCAGGTGTTGGTGCTTGCAGTTGAATAGAGTGTTGTTACATCACTGCCAGGTTACTGAACCTTAGAGAGAGTGAATGCCCTTGGTAGCTGAGAGTTCAAATAAATAATCCTCTGCACAGGTCAGATTCCTTCTTTGGAGTCAATGTTTTGTTTAAATTGGAATTAGGGAGTTGTACAATGTGTAGAAAATAGCCTTCTCCAGCAAAATTATGGTGCTCCCATAATTTCTTACAGATGGATAGTTACCCATTTTAATGGATGAAGGATGTTAGGAGTACTCCATCAGCCCACAGGACTTGCTAGTAATGTTCTGGGAAGTGCCAAACAGAGGAATTCAATCTCTCATTCTTGTCACAAAACTAAGAATTGAATTAGGTTGTCTTAAGTGTTCAGCTCCAGCACTGCCCTGCTGTATTTTAAGAACTCTGATGTTTAATATTTCAATGTGTGACTCTTAGTTCCTTTTTGTAAAACTAACTGTTTCCAAGTCTCATATTCTTCATTGGGTTGTTATCCTCAGCTTTATTGTTCTTTCAACATCCTTACACTGAGAAACACAGGTGGAATTGCCCATTGGAATGTGGCAGCCAGAGGTTAGACTGGAGGTGTCCAATAAGATTTTAAAATACTTTTAATGTATATATTTGACTCAAGTTTCAGGCCACTCTAACCACTGGCTGCCTCCCCCTTTCACACTGGCCTAGCTGCTCCTCAGACTGCAGAAAACAAACCCTGTGGAGAGAAAAGGGAAAGGTTTTCTTCCAGGTGGCTTTGGAAGGAGCTCAGGGACAAGCCTTGAGAGCTGTCAGGAGAGGCCAGGGGGAAAGGAAGTGGGAATGTGTGCCTGAAGGAAAGGAGGCCACAGAAGCCATAAAGTAGATGGACTGTAACTGCTTTACAAATCCAGGCTGATATTTGGTCCTGTATTTTCATTCTATGGTCTTTCTACAGTGACCATCAGCTCCAGTTTAATATGTGGATGTTCACTGCCAGGGGTGTATGGAGCCCAGGCCTTTTTAGTTCAGTCTCTGTTCTTGCTAACAGCAGAACCTTAAATTATTGAGTTGGACACCAGTCAAGAGGCAGAGTTAGTTTTTATTGCATGGAGGCGATGCAGGGCTTGTCAGTTATGGCAGAACTCTGTTCAGTGCATGTGGAGAAAAGAGAGAGAGAAACAACTCTGAAAAATTCTGAAGTTTTGTGATTAATGGCTTGTTAAGGCCAGTGTAGTTTTTTGCCTGTGCTTGAGAGTTCTGAGACAATTTTGAGTCTTTATTTGGGCTACAGTTGGACTTGGGTTTGGTCTGAGTTATTACTGGCAGGTCTTTCTACAACTGAGATCTTACCAACAGAGGGGGAAAAAATATGGAAAACTCTGCTTGTCCTTCTGGTGTGCACTGTGATTTGGGTTTAGGGTATTTGCTGGTACCAAGTTGGATCAGGCTTGGAGCAACATGGGATAGTGGAAGGTGTCCCTGTCCATGGCAGGGGGTTGGAACTGGATGATCTTGAAGGTGCCTTCCAACCCAGAGCACGCTGTGATTCTGGTGCTGAGCACAAATATTCACTGCAAATGTTGGGTTCCACAGCTCGTGTCAATTCAAAGCTTTTATCTACAAGGAGTCAGGGGTCAAAGATATTAAATCATTTAATCCTCAAGTGCCAAGTTCTTGTGACATGTAGAAGTTCAGTTACTCACTCAAAATATGTTTTGGACCCTAACCTGTTTGGTAGCTTGGGTTTAGGGGGAGGATGTTTGGGATTTGTTTGTTGATGTGTTTTTTACCCTTGTTATGAGGTGGTGAACTGAAATACTGTTTACAGCCAAGAACTAAAATCTTGAACGTTGTTTACAATTACAGTTGTGGATGAACTGCTGTATTATATTTTTTTTAATGTGGAAATGGATGCTTAATGTGGAAATATTGCTTAATTAAGTGAAGATAAGAAGAAATTAATTCCATTCACTGCTAACAACCATACCTTTAAATAAACCTTTGGAATTGGTTCAGCAATCGTGTACTTGCCACTGCCGACTAACGCGACACGCTTTTTTTTCTTTCTTTTTATTTCTTTTCTCCCTTAAAGGTTGTATTGGAAACAGAAATCACAAATAAGTCTGCTTTGAAACTTTATGAAAACCTTGGTTTTGTGCGAGACAAGAGGCTGTTCAGATACTATTTAAATGGAGTGGATGCCCTGCGTCTGAAACTGTGGCTGCGTTAGGAGACCCCATCCCAGCCAGCAAGCGACGTCCCAGCAGCGCAGAGTTGTCCTTTGCATGCAATGCAATTTGTCCCAAATTGCTTTGCAAGGTGGACTTTTAGTACTTTCCATGCAGCTCTTAAACCTGTCAGTGTCCCATTGAGTGTCGCACACATTCGTTGCACTTTGGCATGGCGCATTTGTTCCGAATTAAAGCCGATTGTCTCAGACTCCGAGTCCTTTTGGTACCAGCCAGATGTGCCAGGTGATAGCCAAGATATGTTCATTCATTTGCAAGTCTGCTGACTCTTTAGGACATCCACACAGTGAACGTTTTAGCAGAGAAAACCTGGATGGGAACGCCGCTTTTGGTTCCCGAAAATTCAAAATAAAGCCAATGTAGATTGTAAAATTCTATAAGTATACTAACATTTCATACAAAAATTGCCATAGTTTTCTGGGGAAGAAGAAGAAAAAGGAAAAAAAAGGCTTCAATTTTAGGTTTTATTTTTCAATATTGAATTTTTCCATTCTTAAATATTGGTACCTCAGTGATTAGTGAATGAAAAAAATGTATTGTAGGGTGGGGTGTGTGTTACAACAAGTAACCATTAAATTGCGTCTGCCAGTGCCTGTATAGATAAGTATATTTGTCTTCACCTCTAAGTTTGGAGTGCATGCTTTTATTCTTTTACTTTCTTCAGTTGTCTTTGCAAGAAAAAAATAACAACCTGCTTTTATTTAAATTCTGGATTTGATAATAAATTATTTCAGATTTTTATAATTTGGATACTTCTCCCAAACAGGGGTTTGGAAGGCCCTTCTTATAGCACGAAGTGTAAGCTATTTTGAAAACCTTGAGTAGCTGCTAAAAGAACCTGGTGGCACCAGTGAATCTCTGCTGGGTTTGGATGCACTTTTGTCATTAAAAGAGTGAGGGACTTCTTTTAAAAGAAGATATAGAAAATTAATGTAAATTGGTATGATTTTTATTTAATCAAAATTATTGCTAGAAGCTCTGAGAAACAGCTATTTTAAGATAGTTGGAACAATTTTTTTTTTCAGATTCGGATTGCTTTGCTTCAGTGTTCTAAAATGCTTCAATCTTTGGTTCTTGGTCTTGGAAGTGAATTTCAAGGTGTATCATATTCATTTTCAGCTGCTCTCATTTTCTCAACTTACATGAGCTAAATTATTGGGGGAAATTTCCCCCTCTAAAATCAAAGCAGCGGGGAAGGAATTCTGTCTCTCTTTCTTGCATTCACTCTTGCTCTGTTTTTCTTTCTTTTTTTTTTTTCCTTTCTTTATTTGGGCTTGCATAGGTTTTACCAATACCCATCAATTTTTTCAGTAATGACAGCGTCAAGGCTTTCTTGTTCCGTGTGATTCCATAGCCCAGGTCTGTGCATCAGTTGGGTTGGGTTTTTTTTTTTTTTGTTGTTTGTTTTGTTTTGTGGGGGTGTTTTTTTATTTTGATTTTTTGGGGGTTTTTGTTTTGTTTGGGTTTTTTTTTTTTTTTTTTTTTTTTTTGAAAGACAAGAATAAAGGTATTAGGTGACTTGTGGAAGCACCTCTGTAATCAGAGATCTCAGAATATTCAGTTGGAAGGGACCCACCAGGATCAAGTCCAGCTCTGAGGTGAATGGTCCTCACAGGGATCAAAAGGATGAACTCTCAGTGAATCCACTCTCATGGAACCGAGCGAATTCTCCAGATTTGCCTTACTTCACTTTTTTTTTTTCCTTTTTAAACTTTGGTTTGAGTCATGAGGTTTGTTTGGGGGTTTTTTTTTCGTTTGTTTTCATTTTTGCTAATTACTGTACACTAAAAACAAAACCAACAAAACCCCTACCTCCAGTATCATTTGGAAAAGAGCCCTGTGCAGGAAAACTGGATTTGAGCAAAGCCGCCTTTTGCACAGACCAATCGCACATGGTGATGGACGTTTCTTGCCATGTACAAATCATGAGTTGTATTTGAAAATAAAGATTTTTAATGGAAGCTGGCCCTGCTGAGTTTTCTGCTTGTAGAGACACCATCTGTGCTGTCGAGGGGCTCTGTTCCCCTCAGTAAAGAAAACTCATCCTTAAAAGGGTGCCCAAGACAAAATGTTGGAAGTGGGGTCTGTTACTCCCAGGACGTGCTGGAGCTCATCCTAAAGCCTGTGTGTAGCCACTGCTGCCTTGTGACACCATAAAACCTCTTGTTACCCTGCTCCCTCAGGGCTGCCAGTTTTTCTGGGTGGCTTTTCAGCAGTTCTCATCAGTGTTAAGGCTTCAATGTTGGTCGCCAATCCCTTGAGTCAGGTTTCCCTCAGCTGTGGTCCGGGATGTAGGGACTGCCCTGGAGCTGGATCAGGGAGGTTTCAGACCTTGCAAGCAGCTCTTGGGCTTGTTTCACAGATTGCAAACTGGGCTGCCTTGTGTGTCTTGCTGGGGCTTCAGTCTGCAAAGCCAGACAGACAAGTTTTCTATTGGTTAATATTTAAGCCGTGGGTGTCTTCAGATTCAAAAGCCGACTGGCAAGTGAGCTGAAATCCCTCCTCACTGCCAAAAAACCATCCCTCTGGAGCAAACTTCAAATGCAATTCTGGTTGGTTATTGTAAGAAGTGGTTGCTGCCATGCCTGTGTTGAAAATACTGAGCAAAATAGGTGTAGATCTCTCCTTTTTTTGTTTTTCAAAGAGCATGTGGCCTGAAAGGTTCTGCCATGGCTGCTGTGTCACAGTTCTCTGCAGGAGACACTGAGCTGCATGTGCTGGGTCCTGCCAAACAGATTTGTTCTCTGTGCTGCTTGGGATTAGGAAATCAAGTGGGAAGCCTTGAATTTGCATAGGTTTTCAAAAGGAGTCTAGCAAGGAAAAGTTGGTTATTTCTCCTGTCTGTTGCTAAACACAGTTCTCTCCCCCTCGCCTTTTTGCATTGACAAATCTAACTAAGGAGTTGATTGCTTTTATATTTAAATTTGCCCAAATGTTGCTACTGGCTGACATGTCGGTCTGGATGTTTGCATTCATGATGTTGTTTTTTAAGAAATGATCAGGTTCATCACCTTCAAGGCATCATCAGATTGGTGTTGCAGAGTATGTCACAAACTATTTTTCAGGGCACTGCAAGACTTTGCTACAACTCAGTGCTGTGTTGAAAAAACTTCAGGTCTTGTATAAACACTGCAACCTATGTTGGAGTTCAGGTATCAGGTGGGCATCTATGAAAATAGCAAGTGTATCTCAAAATACTGGGCTGCTGTTTTGAATGGATTATATTCTTCTGTCCCTTTATCCTTTTTGATGAGAACAAAACCAGTGGGGTTACAAAATGTACAAGTTGTCTAAATACAATGCAGTCAAAATAAATGGTTACGTTGTTTATCTATTTCCTTTTCAAGGGGAATGTTCTAATGCTTGTTTTGCTTTGTCTACAAAATACAAACACACACAGTTGCTCAAGGCCAGGCTGGATGGGGCTTGGGGCAACCTGGGCCACTGGAAGGTGTCCCTGCCATGGTCTTGAAGGTCCCTTCCAACCCAAACCATTCTGGGATTCTGTGATGGAGAAATGGTGGGGAAAAATTTACAACACAAAACTGTCTATCGTGACTTGATTTAAAAACAGCCATGCCTGTGTCAGGGGCATCTTGAACACCATTTATCTGAACAGTGTCACAGCTGAACTGAAATGGGTCCTTTTTTATGGCTGTTAAGTCATGACTAACACAGACACTCTGGATTTTCCTGGGAGGTAAGGAGGGGGCTTTCTTATTTTGGTTGCAAGTAAGCAAGAATTGAGAACTGCTTGCAGCCCTTGCAATGCTGAGAACTCTTCAAAGCACACAGGAGGAGTCCTGTATGTACTTAGAAAAAATGTACTTTTAGAATTCTCTCAAAGTACTTTCCATGTACTTTGAGCTTTATTCCCTCTGCCATTTTGTGCAGGCTCCTAAAACCCTGGGAATTTGCCAGCAGTTGTGGCTGTGTGCGGTGTGCAGGTGACTGAGGGCTGTGACCAACCTGCCAGGGTCTGCTGCTCATCTGCCAGGAGCTCCAAGGCTTTTCTCCTTCCAGTTTCTCTTAGGATTCCTTACAGCTCCCAGTACCTAAAGAGGAACTTTTTAACAAGGGCACGGAGTGACAGGAAAGGGGGAATGCCTTCAAACTGACAGAGGGTGGATTTAGGTTGGAGATGAGGAAGAAATTCTTGACTGAGGGTGGGGAGGCCCTGGCACAGGGGGCCCAGAGAAGCTGGGGCTGCCCCTGGATCCCTGGAAGTGTCCAAGGCCAGGCTGGACAGGGCTTGGAGCAGCCTGGGATGGTGGAATGTGTCCCTGAACATGGCAGGGTTGGAAAGAGATGGTCCCTTCCAACCCAAGCCTTCCATGATTCTGTTATTCCAGTGAATGATTCCCCAGCTGCTCAGCCCTTGCAGGTGGCTGCAGGATGTAACCTCCAGGTGGGAGACACAGATTGAAATTCCAGCTCTGCATCCACCACAAGTTCCACCCTGGATTTAAGAAATTATCTGTCACAGTCAAAACTGAACCCTGAGAGCAGCAGCAAAAAATGTCCTAAACAGCTTCTTAGTTTCTCTGAGAGGTGTTTTTCCTATTTTCTGCACCAGCTATTGCCTTGATTTGGGGCATTTTCCTTAAAAAAAAAAAGAAGGCAAAGCAGGAAAGGAAAATTACTTTCTGCTGAAGTGAATGCTTCTCTCCAGGTGTCAAAGACTGGGAGAAAGTGACAAAGAGGAGGTAGTGGCTAAAGATTGAATACAGGAGCTTAATAACAACCGGTTTTCTACTTTCTATCTGTAACAAGATGCCACCTGCTGCTCTCTTTTGTTTTTTTTGTTTGTAAAATACCAGTTAAGAAGGTTGAAAAAGTAGGTGACCAAGCAAGAAAGATTTATGCAAAGCTGAAGTTATTACTCATATATAATAATAATAATAATAATAATAATAATAATATAGACTTGTTGAATAACCTGAGTTGGAAGGGACCCATAAAGATTATTGTACTCCAACTCCTGGAAAAAGTCTTTATACATTATATTATATTATATTATATTACATTACATTACATTACATTATTTTATATTATATTATATTTATTATATTTTATTCTAGTATTTTATTATTATATTATATCATAATACATTATAACATATTTGTTATATTTATTATATTAATTTTTTAATATTTATTATATTAGATATATATATGTATATATATATATATATATATATTAGCTATATAACCCCTGTCCAGACAGTACCCTTACAATCCCTGCCCTGTCCATGTGAGCACTCTCCTTTCCATGAGTAATTTAGAGCACACAGTTAATTGAATACTCTGGTGCTGCCACAGCTCCCTCCCAAGGGATGGAAAAGGCTCTTAGTCTAAATCAAAATTAGTCTTTAATATCAGCAAGAGCAAACAAAGGAGCCCTTGGAGTTGGGTGCATTTGATGGAAGGAGTTGATGTGTCACTCCTGAGCTGGGCTGAGTGTGCTCCAGCCCCATTGACTCCGAGCAGGAGGCTTTGCTGGAGGAGATAATTACAGAAAGAAGAGAACCAGCTGCTCTTCACACAAATTAAGGATGTCCTTGTCCCTCATCTCCCTCTCCACGCTGATCTGGGAGTCCTGCAGCTCTCCAGGAATTAAGAGCAGTTTCAGGCTCAGCCCTAATGAAGGGCTTGCACCATCCATGGCTCCTGCTGCAGGTCAGTCATAGAATTCACCACAAAATGGGATTTTTTTTTTCTTTTCCAGCCATTTTTTTACTCAGGTGACTTGATCCAAAAGCCTTTTGGTATCCCCAGGTCCGAAGTCTCTCCTGTGGCTGGCACAGGGCTGTGTTTCTTGCAGCAGTAAACTGAGCTTGTTAGGGATGAGTGAGCCTGAAAATGTAAACAGCTCAGAAGGTAAATAAATTGGGAAGTGGTTCAAGCCACAAATGGCAGTCAGCCTTTTCCTGCAAACAGCAGAGATTTTTATCTCGCTATCTGAAAGTGACATTCAAAGAATTGCTCTCTTGGGATTGGAAAAGAAGTTCTTCATTACAGGAAACAGGTCTGGATATGATTAAAAAGCTAAAGTGTTCTCCTTGGGGTTTTTTTTGTTTTGTTTTGTTTTATTGAGGGGAAATTGAAAATGTGGTGATCTCAGTGAAGCAGATTACTCCAGTGGCTCCATTTATGAACTGACAAATGGAATATGGAGCAGACATTTACAGAGGTGCTGCCTTGCATTGGGCTCTATAATCTCAGTATTCTCAGTCTCTCCTACTGTGTTGAAACAGGCCAAAAAATACATTTATTGAAATGTCAAACTTCAATGTTCTGGCTCTGTTCGTGTGGATAGAAAATAACTTTTGTATCTCTCCAACAGGAATTTTGTAATTCTCTGTGAGATTGTTTTGCAGTTCACTGTGTGTTCTTGGAAAGTCCTTTGGAAGAAGTGCTCTCAGAAAACTCTCAGCCTCAAAATCCCAGGAACATTTTGAACCTACAGAAAAAGCCCTTTTTATTTTTTTCTCACAGATCCTGAGAGTGACTTCTCCTGATTTTTCTTCACCAGCTGAAGAGCTTAATCCAAGTAAATAAAAATCAAATTCCGGAAAAACATTTTAAAATCTCTTCTTAATGATCTTTTGCCAGCTTCATCCCTCTTCCCCTCCTGTAAACTTTTAGTTTCAAGCTGTTCTGACACTCAAGGGCCAGATTACTGTGGGTAAGTTTTCCTTGGTAAATAGTTTCCAGGGAGATTTAGATTTCTTTAAGCTGCAAATTTCTGCTCCTTGAAATGCAGAGAGAATTTTCTGGGATTTTTTTTGGTTGTATCCAGCCCCAAAACTCCTTTCTGCCAGCGTGCATTGGGTGCATTGTCAGTCAGCACTGGGCAAACTGGCTCAGGACAGGGGAGGAAAAGGGGGAAACTGAGGCAGGAGAGGCTGGGTATGCTGGAATCCTTTGGATTAATGAATTCTGGAAATCAGAACTTG